ATTATTATTATTATTATTATTATTATTATTATTATTATTATTATTATTATTACTATTATTATTATTATTATTATTATAAAATAAACGTTAAAGTATATAAATGTATTTGTTTATTTTTGAGAGATATATATATAAATGACGATTGATGGGAGAAAAAGAGAAAAAAAATTTTGAAAAGAAAAAATATTTGATTCTTTTATAAAGTTTTTAGATCACATATATATATTATATATAATTTAGTCTTAAACAATACAAATTTAATAACTAATTAATTAATTTAATTTATTTTTTAATTATTTGATTGGCATAATAAATAAATAAAGTTTTTATTTTTTATGATAATCCTAGGGAGATCTTAAATGAGAAAATATTTTAATATTTTTGAAATTAAGGCCTGTTGTCTATAATGGATGGTTTACTTTATTAATATTTTGATTACAGGGTAAATATTTTACGATTTATTATTGTTGTCCAGATATATGAGAGAGACTGTTGTTCGTTTTAGTGAGGAATTAAAAATTAATATCAATTACAATATGATTGATCATTTGATCACATTAACCATTGTTCTATTGCAATATACATACGTAACATTAGCTCAAAATTAAATGATTGGTTTAAAATTCATTATTGTTTAAAAAATGATAAGAACCATTTAATTTAATTTAATATTGCGTCACCATTTCATGGGTTGATTGACAATAATTGTATTAATAATATAAACATTAAATGGGGGAGAACGTTTCATTGTTTTTATACTTTGATATTTTAAATTGCTTCTTCTTCAAATTAAGAATTATCGACATGTGTTTTTATCTTTATATTATTAAATTCTTAAATAAATATTAAAATATTAAAACAATGATATATATAGCATGTGTATGAGTGACATGTATACTATATTAGTTATAGATTATAAATATAACGATGGCTATTTATTATCGTCAAAAAAAAAAAATACTTACATCTCTAATCTAATTTTTTTATTCATATAAATCGTTGCGTGGATTAATCCTTGTATAATGTAATTAGTAAATTCATGAGTATGGAATATAACGAAAAAAACTCTCTGATTGTTAATATTTACAGTAGGGTCCTTTTTGCGATATATATTAATATGCATATTTGTTTTTTTATAATTTATTGATTTTTTAGTAACTATACGTTGTATAAACAATATATTAATCTCAACCTGATTAATGAATGCAGTACATTATTAAAAAATATTTGAAGTTACAAAGTGTGGAAATACGTGAACTATTTTAGTTATAAAAATATATTACTCATTAATTAATTATTCCATTTTTTTCAGAATATTCCTTAATATAATGAATCCAAATAAATTGTTCGCGTAACAAACCCTGAATAGTTCAAACTTTGGAATAGAAACTAATTGAGCGATTAAATTAAAATTTAACAAAAGGATTTGGATACGTGTAACATGCAAAAGAAACCACATTCAATGCGCAAATTTGATTGTAATTTATTAAAACCAAATAAAAAATTTTTTAATCATATTATTCTGTAAAAAAATTTCTCTTTTATTATTATTAATTTTTCTATAACTAACGTCTCTCAATTACTATAGTAAAAGACATAAAAGGTACTTTGTATTACAATAAGGATCATTATGAAAAGAACCAATGGAAATATAAAAAATGAATTAATATGTATATATGTTATGTTTATAATAATAAATAATCACATAAAATCATCCTAATAATTGTTTTGATAAACACTATTTTTACTACTTGATATTAAAAATAACTTGAACCGATTCAAAAAAAAGAAAAAAAATTTTTTTTATCACCATTATCACGTGCAGATCATCTAAAGTCATCTAAAAATTTCTAAACGCCATTAATTTTCTAAATATGGGCTATTTTCATCAGATACTCTCTATATTTGCAATATTATAGACTTGAAAAGTGATGTAATTGAAATTTTTTTGAGTAAAAAAAAAAGAATGTTTTTACGATTTTTGTCGTGAGTGCGCAGCGAATTACGAGATAATTTTTTTTGTTTTACCAAAATTTCTCATTTAAAAAATTGAAAAAAATTGAAAAATAAAAATGAAGGTTTTTTTACCACCAGAGATCTCTAACATTTGTAATAAATTATTTGCAAAATGATAGAGAATCATTATTCATTTGTACGTTGGTTTCAAGAACTTGACGAATATAGTTGTAAGAGTTTTATGATGTCTTTAGATGATTCGTATCATATCATTTAATGCGTCAAATCCGCAAATAGGTGTAACATTTAAGACTCTTTGAAGTATATATTCGGAAATTAATATTTCTCGTGTTTCTCAGAAATTAAATATCTAATTTAAATCCATTTTATTAATAGAGCTAGAGGTTTAAAATTTTCCCGCCAGTAATCTTTTACTTTATTTTCCGTCTATAATGGCAATTAATAATTCTAAAACATTTATAATTTGTTTCTTTGGGTGAGTTCCTTTTCTGCAACAGTTGTTGTATATCTGCTTTTTTTCTGGTAAAAAAATTTCTGACAAGATAAGTGAGCTGGAGAATGATGTATTATCAATATTAAGACTGTTTTCTATTTTAATCCCAATCATCATAGAATCAGATATCAGAGTACTTTATCTCTCTCTTTTTTTTCTTTAAAAATATCAGTATATTTGTAGCATGCACCATGTCCTTTAATAGCAAGTTTTTCGGCTTTGAACACTTTTTGATTGATGTATATGATGCCCTTTTCATAACATGTAAATTCCATCATAATCTAAATCTTTTAAAAAAATGTGATTCATGGGTAGAATTATAATAATGCTTAATTGGTGAATCTGCATTTTTTATAATAATAATAATAGAAATTCTATTATTCTTTTTGTGCTTTTACGCACAGTGCAGATCATGAAAAAGGAAATTTAAATTGTATATGCTTTTTGTTAATTAATACATTATGTAAATAATTGTTATTTGAATAAAAAAAGGGAAATTCACTTGTCTCAAATTCCTTAAGTGCATAACAAAATTTGGAATTTTCAAAATGTCAAGCAAGGCTCAACCAATTTTTAGTTTGAGAAAAAACTAGTCGACAGGTTTTGAAGCTTGAGTCAATAAAACTTATCGGTTAGCTTTATAAAAATTTTTGTTTTAGTATTTTGAAGCGTCTCACGGATATCTTTTTAATTGTTAAATAAAAATCATCCCAAAATTCACTAAAAATTTTCTATTATATATAACGTTTAATAATGAAATTAAAAGAATGTACGTTTTAAACTCCGACAGGTTAAAGTTGGAAGCAGGTAGTTTCGTTATAGTCTTGATCGTTATTATAAAATCTATTCTTTAAAGCATTTTTTGAACCATTATCGGATGTAAAAGGGTTTCCCTTCTTCTATTCAAGTGTCCACCATTTAAATTAAATCAAAGAACAACAAATAAACCAGACTTTTGGCATTTGTTCCTTGAGTTACAAAAACTTTACAAGAATGTTGTGCATTACATGGCACTTGGAGATGGTACTCCAACAATGCTCAATATATGTTTTTCTACGGGTAAAGAATGCATTGTTTTTTTGCAATAAAGGCACTTACGAAATTAGATGAGGCTTTTTTCAATTTCAAAAAATTTTTTTGGGATGCTCATGATAATGCATAATTGCCCGCTTAGTACGATTTTAGCAATTATCGACATTATAATATGCAAGATACAGCATTCTACCAATTTTGAAACTGTATTTTCGCCCACGAAAATTTTGAATAACCATTATCTCCCACATATAATGGTGTAATTATATTTAACAACTTTTGTATTTATTTATTTTTAAAAAAAAAAATTGATCAATGATTAAAAAATCAGAAAATATTAATTAGAGAAACCAAAGAATTTAAAATAAATTGCAAAGGTGAAATTTTAAAAACTTCTCTTAAAAACTTTTGATCGTTGTCTCCATGTTATAAAAGTAGCCCAAATTATTTATACTGCCATAATGATTTTTGACATTGTCAATTTCGACGTCTGTCTTCTAGGGAATTTTCAAGTAGAATTCCTTAAAATCGTTTGTGAAATAAAATAATTTATATCATGGTTCGTCCTTGGCTTTTTCTCACAACATTTTCATGGAAAAGCTGATTAGTATAAAAATATTTATATTTACTTTATTTATTTTAAAATTGCGTTAGTTAACTTTTTATTTATATATAACGATAAGAATAAAACTATTTTTGAATGTAAAAAAGTAACATTTGAAAAGGTACCATAGGTATTTCATCTAAGGAATTCAAAGATAAAGAAAATTCCTTTTGGTAGATTTTTTGATATACTTGACCTTTACTTTTTCACAATAGCAGGAGGCTTTAACTTGTGAGGCATCTTGAATATTATTTGCAATAAAGTTAATATTAGTAAAACTTACTGAATTGTTTTCCTTAAGTAAAGTTGCTGCCGTTTGGAAACTTGGAAGAGGGGCATCAAGCGTAGAGACTTTCCGCCATGGTTTGAATGAAATAATGAACAAATAGTAAGAACGAAGATTAATAGATAATGAATTCGAGTCAACAATAGTTTATCAAAAGTTTTCGCGGGGGACTGTGGAATAACTATTTCTGCTTAATAAAATTTTCCATCAGATTTTTTTATTATTACATACCAGATGTCAACACCTAGACTCTGGAGATTCATCAAGCTCTCTTCTTTTTAAAAAAAAAGAGCTCATATACAACTTGAGAAGATTAGCAAGCTCTCTCACCCATCTTGAAATTTTCATTGCATTGTAAACGTTTGGACAAAGAATATTATTTATAATTAATATATATATATATATATATACGCAATATATCACGTTGTTAGTGTGAAACTGGTGAAGGCCACATTACTATTATTATAATTAAAAATAAACATTGCTTTACATTTTCATGAGTATTAACGTCATCATCTCCAAAATTGTCTGATCCTTTATTGTAGGTGATGATCCTGTAGAAGTAACTCAATTATTAACAGTTTTTTTATAGTAATGTAGAAAAGTCGTATTATTAAATCTGTCATTCGTAAAAACATTAATCTAATACAATCAAAATTTTAATAATAAATTACAGCCAAAATCTCGTGACTGAAAAATAGTTGATTGATGCGCAACAGATCAATTTATTAATATATATATATATATATATTCTGTTGGCTCCTATAAATGAACCAAAAATGCCAATTACCAAAGTTAACAAAATAAATTCATTTTCTTTATTTCACTGAATTGGAATTTAAAGAAATAAATCATACAAATTTTTGAATATAAATACAAGATTTTTTTGCCCAAGCTATATATATACAGTACTATTAAAAAAAACCAAGTCAAATCAAATAACTCTAATAAACGAATTTTTTTACCAATTTCTTTTTCCTAATTACATCTTCCCAATTAAATTTTCCTTGAATATATAAACAACTTAATTACCTTAAAATGGGCAAACCCTAAAATTAGCAAGCTAAAGCGATTCAATGCATGTAGGCAGATATTTTCCCAGACACAAATTTAAATATCAGTAAAGATCTGAGTCCCGAAATTGAATGTGAAGTTGAAACTGAATCAGACTGGAGTTCTGATGATAATGAACCATGGGATGACTTGAATGTGTGTATAGACGATAACGTTGCTCTTGTGCATGAATGGCGGGAAAATTTTTCCAAGAAATTACTATTTCAGTAAAAAGCAGGTCTTTTTATATGAAGGATTCAAAAAGAACATAATAAAGACATGGCAATAGTTTGATTTTCTAAAATTGCTGATTTTTCATATTCAAATTCCCAATGGAAGTCGAACTGAAAATCTAGAGTTACAGAGTAATAATGAATCAACAGATGATGATCTTGAATATCTCAATTTTGATGATGACTGGAAAAATGATGTTGAAGAAGCTCTGATTTAGCCAATGATGTAAAGTCCATTGTAGACATTTGGGTAATGACAAAACACAGAATAAAGCAGATGAAATAGTGGCAATATCTCTAGGTAAGCAAAAGTTTATAAAAGTAAGTGCATTAGAACTCGGGTTAAACAATGGGCCCAAAATAAAATATTACCTGAATCAAAAAAAGTAAGTCACCCAAAAACAAAAATCATGAAAATGTTGCGGAAGTCATCTAAGGTACAATAAATTTCATATAACGCCTAAAAGATTATGCAAATATGTTGATAATAAGAAATAGAAAATGAAAATGAAAATGAAAAAAAATTTATTCATGTATATGCGTGCGTGAATTTTGAAATTAAAATGTGCGCCAAAACTTTTTCAAAAATTCACACGGTTGATGTGACACAACATTGGAAAAAAAATGTCATGCTATATTAATATACTAATACTAAATGTAAAAATACATTTTGCAATTATGAATTAAACCAAACTAGTCAAAGTGTGAAAGTAATCAAAGAAATGTGAAACAGTTCCATCTTCAGTCATTTTTAATTTTATTTTGGCGTCAATTCTCTCAATAAAGAATTTAGAATCACTTGATTTTAATAAAAAAAAAAAAAGGCGGATTTTTTTTTTTTTAATATTCTTAAATAATATCTAAAGAAAATATTAGATTTTTGTTTTTGTTTCAAGTTGTTGCAGTTTACCTTTATGTAACAAAGAAAAAAAATTTTTTTTTTGAAAGATGCAGAAAATGCGCATCATGCGCGTGAATATTACGCAATTTCCCGTATCTAATTGTAGCATACAGGAATAAAAATTTAAAATTTAACTCCACGATTTGAGGCGTTGACTTAGAAGGAGAAAAACTAAATGATAATTTTAATAACACATAATGAATCAACAACCTCCTATTCAAATGAAGGTAAAAGTATGAGGTTGGATGGAGACCATCAGATGAAGAACTGTTTAAAAAAAAAAAGGAAAAGAAAAGCCTTACATGTTAGTAGTTTTTTAATAGAAACAATTGGATCTTTACAATTCAAAAAACCAATTTCCTGGCTTACCTGAACATATTAAATATTTTGCGTCAGGGAGATGCGAACCATTGATTAATATAAATCGAGAAATGATCGACATATTTTTCAGTTGCCTTTGCATGAAAAGTTGGCACTATCATTTTTTTTTTCTTTTCTTGTATCGAAAAAAATTTTCTATATTAATATACCATGGTGGATGTAGTGATTTCTGTTTCCGCAGTAATTTCTCATAGATGGATCATCAATTAAAACAAAAGAAAAGCAATTCTGGTTTTGAAGTAACATGCCCAGGTTGTATATCATCATCTACCTCTGTTTGACAATGCAACCACTCATGCTGCATTTGCAGGTGATGCTTTAGTGCATCCAAAGTAGGCTAGTACGATGGTGGAAACGAGAAACGCCATGATGACTTAATCTAAGAGGGAAACAGGAAGGAATGAAGACAATATTGGCATATTCAGAAGAACGTAAACTAAAAAGCAAGGGAATAAAATAGAAGGTTACAACTAGATTTTTTCAAGCATAAAAGGTAAATAAGAGGTCATATGATAATATTTTACCCAAGTTCCGTTGCGAACTAAATTTTATTGAAATGTATTAATCTAAATGATGTACCAGAGAAAATTGCGACTACACATGGAGTGGCCAATCTTTTGAGATCAATACCTTTGGTCTTGAATTCTATTCCTGTTCATCAAGAAAATATGCATGTAGATCCTTCAGGTTGGATGCATATAAACTCTTAAAGAAATATAATTCTCATAGAAGAATTCTATTGCATGAATGAATCCATTAAGTAATTAATTAATTATTGGTTTTAATTTTTTAATTGTTTACGTTATATTTTTTATTTGTTTGTTTGTGCGACGTGACTTTGAAGTTCGGTTAATACTACATTTCTTCCAACTCTTGTGCAATTTTGAGTCCACAGAAAAATTTCCTCTTAAAATTTTGATAACCAGATAAAAGAAATGTTTTTTTCATGCTCAACCAATTTTTTGTCAAAGAAAATCTAATCGATAAGTTTTGAAACTAGAATCATGAACTACAAAACTTATCGGTTAACATTTTGAAATGTCGTAAAAATTTTTGATTTGGTATTTTAAAGGCATCCAACCGCTATTTATTATAAATATAAAGCAACGAATCACGAATTATAAAAGCCTTTTATTTTTTACATTTCTTTCTTTATTCTTTTTTTTATGTATTATATTTACTTTAGGATCGGTCAATTATCTTTCTTTCGTTTACATAATAATATATATAGTATGATGATAAATTACTTTGTACAAAAAAATTAAAAAAAATATGTGTGAAGAATAATAAATAAAAAAATCAAATTACAAGAAAAATTTTTTTACATACAAAAAACAATAAAAATATTTATAAGAGAAAATAAAAAAAATTATATATAAAGATGATTTTTTTTTGTTGGTATTCTTTTTTAAAAAATTTGATCTTAATTGCCTTTAGTTGTTGATGATTTTCTTCTAAAAAGAACTGAAAAAAAAATTCAACTGAAAATTTCCACATAAAAAAAAAAAATAAAAAAATTTGAATCGTTATTATTATTTAATTAAAAAAAATCTTCTAAATCCTCTAAATCTTCAAAATCTTCAAAATCTTCAAAATCTTCATCTTCGAAATCATTATTCTCATGAGGAGGATCTTTGGGAGGATCTTCTTTAGGAGGATCTTCTTTGGGAGGATCTTCTTTAGGAGGATCTTCTTTAGGAGGATCTTCTTTAGGGGTAGGTTCCTCATTGGGAGTAGGTTCCTCTGTTCCTGTTGTTGCTGAATCTGGCGTGGGGTTATCACTTGCAGGAGTAGAAGTATCGGTTGTTGTTGTATTAGTATCGGTAGCAGTAGTCTCTGGAGCTGGTAAAGCTACAACACATGTTGTAAAGATGACCAAAAGAAAAATGATAAACAAATTCAATAATTTCATTTTTTTTTTAAAAAAAACACGTTTTTTTTTGAATTTTAATTTTTTATTGCGGAAAAGATTTTTTTTTTTAAAAAGTAAAAAAGTTGAAAACTTTTGAAATATTTATTGTATTTGTATTTATATAACAATAAAAATTATTAATAAAACAATTCTAAATACACAGCCTCGATATATATATTTTTTCTAAGATTTGATTTTAACGTTTGGGCGTTTAAAATTATACTCTCTTCTTATTCAAAGTGGCTTCGTTATCCCTCCAGGTAATTATTTAAGCAATCACGTGAATTATATACAATTTAAAAGTTGTGGCTTTTGTATATATGATCTAAGCCTACCACTATATGATACCGTAATTTACATAAATAAAAACAAATAAAGGCTTAGATTTTTTTTTTTATATTAACTGAAAAAATAAAAATCTTTAATTTTATATAAATATAACAAAATAATTAGTAATGTTAATAATCTCCATTCGAAATACATATAGAAGAAAAGAATCAAGAGAAGAAAATATATAAAGAGAGATAGAGAAGGAAAGAAAGTTACTTTTTAAAAAAATAAAATATTTACATTCATGCACATACATACACACATACACTTATAAACACAATTATAAATCCTTTTTATCTGGATTATCTTTTTCTGATTTTGTCAATTGATTAATGTTAAATTCTTTTCTTTCTTCACCAAGAATAACTAATAATGAAAATAAGATTTATTTTGAAAATAAATTAATAATTTTTATTATATAATTCTACCTAATCCAATTCCCACACTACACTATGCTATTTTATTCAACATTGTCGTCCAATATACACCAACAAAATTTTATCCTCGATCACACAATGAAATCTATTCCCAATTTCAAATCCTAAGCCGAGCCAAAAACCCCCCAATTCCAATTCTTTTTGATTTATGAATCAGATTGATTACCTCGTTTATATAATAAAAAACTAGTTGTGACAAATATTGGTATGGTAACAATCATTAAAGTGTACCGTCTAAAAAATATATGGATGATGATGTTTAGTTAATTAATAATAAATTAAATGATTGATTGATTGAAAAACGAAAACTATTTTATCGTCGGTTATTATTGTTGTTGTTATTATTATCATATTATTACTGTTATTATTTACATTTTAAGACTCCTTGGAACATTATTTGATGTCATATTCTTGTCTATATTAAAAAATTTTTTTTAATTTTAAAAAAATTTTCTTCCTTTGATAATCTCGCTATATATATAATATCATGTGGCTCTAGATTTTGTGGCTTGTGTCATCTTTTGCTTGTCAAAGGGGGGAGGGGGGGGTAAAATAAGTGCGCATGTCCTTTTTTATTTTTATTTTATTTTGGCACGTTGTCAAAAAAACAATGGATGCATCTATAGTCGATGTCAATATCGTTACATTTTTATTTGATTGGTCAATTAAATTAAATATTTATTTTTATTTATTTATAGTATAAAAAAAAACAAGGAAAAGTGTTTCATTGAACTATTTACTATTGTTCTTGTCAAAAAGAAGAATTATAGTATTAGAATTTTAAGGTTCAAATAAAATTTCAAAAATCAGGAATTCTAAATTTAGTATAATAGTCTCGAGATTTAGAATTTTAAAGTATTATTATTTTTCAAATTTCGAATTAACAATATAATAACACACCTCAAAATAATTAATTAAAAAAGAAGAATGGGTTTTAATATGTTATCAGAATGTCTTAAAAATGTTTTTTCTTGGCTAGAAGATGATAAAGTCACCTTATATTCTTCGATTCTTGTGAATCGTACTTGGTGCAGAACAGCTACTCCATACCTGTGGAAGAATCCTTTTAAATTAGTTTCTCATGAAAATGTATATAAGCTTATTTGTATCTATTTTAAAAGTATGTCAAGTGAAATTTTTATAGATGATAGTGATGATGTCAATTTTTATTTCTTGCAAGACAGATTGATTCTTAAAGATAAAACAAATTTGATTTCATTTATCAGAGGCACTCAAGCAACTTTATTTGACTATATATCATTTTTTAGGGTGTACAATTGTTATCAAGTCAATAATCTTATTAATTTGTGGTGCTCATATTTTATCACTGATGAGAAAATCAATTGGGCAGGCCAAAGAAAATTTTGCTCAAGATGGATATCAAATAACCTTTTTAAAATCATTATGGATCATAGTTCAAGACTTGACTCCTTAATACTAGTATATGATGATTTCCATTTTAATGAAATTGATAGAACGACATTTACCACCGACGCAACAACCACAACAACCACAACCACCACAACCATCGCAACTATAATCAACAGCAATAGTATTATTAGTAGAAAACCAAATTCTGGTTATTCAAAACTTAAATCCTTACATTTAGACTATTGTTGTGATGGTCACACGTTAGATTGTATATCAAAAAATTGTAGAACAATTGAAGAATTATGGATTTCGTTGGCTGAACGAACCATCGAGATAAAACCTTTGTGTGATTTGATAACGTCACAAAAATCTTTAAAAGATTTTAGAATACGTAGTTCCACAATGATCATGGAATATTACTTTAACATACCTGACGTTCTGCTTGAAGCTTTAGAAGCACACAAAGATTCTTTAACCACACTACAGTTTTTCTGTTGCCAATTCTACCAATGTCAATCATTCAAGCCCATATCAGAATGTAAAAATCTTAAAAGATTGGGTTTCTTCAATTGCGAGGGAATGACTCATTCCAAAATATTTCATTTAGCAGCAAAAGGAAACTTGCCAAAACTGGAGGTGTTGGCGATTGCTGTTTATGATGAGTTTTCATCTGACGTTATAATAGGAATGATTAAAAACTCACACAACACTTTGAAAAGGGTTTCTTTGCCGATGGCAACTCCAGATAATGGCATTAATCATGTTATGAATGCTATGAAATCATTTTGCTACGAAAATTTAAGAGGTATCACTGTGAATTTTATGGCCGGTGATCATAATAATTTTGAAAATTTCCTATCACTGCTAGAGAAATGTCAAAATTTGGAGCGTATCTGTATAGAAGGTGGTGATTTCGAAGGGTTTCCTTTGGATTTTGATAGTGAGGAAATGAGTTTAAAATTTCGTAAATTGACAAAAAAATTACCAAAAAAACTTTACAAATTGGTGTTTTACAATGTCTCAATCACACCATCATTACTATTATCTTTCCTTAAAGACTTGAAATCTTCTTCACTTAAAGTATTAGGATTCTACGAGTGTCCGTTATTTGAAGATTTGCACATTGAGATGATCATAGAATATGTACAGGATCCTAATAATGCATTAGAGAATTTAATTATTAATTGGTGTGACTTTATCACTGAAAATATTATAAATAGAGCAAGACAATATATTAAAAAAGTAGATTTTAGTGATATTGAACCTCATGAAATGGAATTTACTGCTTGGTTAGAATAATATAGAATAATAAATAACATTAGATATGAAGACTATAATGATTTTATTAAAAATGATTTATTATTTATGATTTATTTAGATTAAATTTTACAAATGTTTGGTTGCCACCACCACTAAAGCAAGAAAAGAAGGCAATACTTTCGATTGCGTATATCATACGCATTCATGTATCATATAATGTAATATTTAATTAAAAAACGTGTTAATCACTCATATCAATCACTTAAATGATTATTAGTTTTTTAAAATTAGCAATAATAAATTTTATTTCGAATTAAAAATTATATTCGTAAAGTAAAATCAACAACATACATATAAAAAATATTATTAAAAAATATTACATTTTTCTAATTCATTTATTTTTTCACATAAATGATCAGTCTCGGTTACATAATCAATTTCCGAAATAGCCACCAAATTATTGTTTAAAAGAGTCTTCTACAAAATAAAGGCCAACGGGGGGATTCTGAAATGATCCCATTTATATTTATTTACTTATTTATTTCATATAATTGTTTTTATAATTGCCATAGTATCTAATACTTACATTAAAAGTTTTTAGCTGAGTACAAGCTTTAAATATGTAAGTTTCCCATAATTGATTTTTTACATGATTTTCATAACCATAAGGATCAACAAACATCCTAATAAAAATATTAACAATATATATATTATAAAATTAAAAATACTAATTAAACTAATAAAAAAAAAAATATGATATAAATAAACAATTACTCTAAGTTTATGGAAATCATCAGCAGGCATGCCCAGAATTAATATAGCTGTTTCATCGAAACAATTCGCCCATACACTATCTAAATAATCAGTTATACGAATTGGCAAAACATATCTATAACAAAAAACGAAACAAACAACATCAATAAATATTAATATTTTTAAAAAAATTTTCAATTAGCAAGTAACACTATACCTGTAGGTTGGAGTTCAAATGATTTTGAACATTTATCACAACTCCAATTATTGTCACTTACAAATACTTTCTTTTTGCAAGTACTCCATGAAGGATAAATAAGTTCTTTGCCTTTATTGTGTATGTAAGCAACAGCTAGTCTTAACAGTGAAATAGTCTGCCTGGAAAATAAATATATAGATGAAGTTAAAGCTAGATGCATAAAAACACACGCATACAAACACATATATAAATTCATGCAAGAATTACTCTCTCTTTATATCCTAAATTTTTATCGGATTTAATTTCTTCTAATGACTTTTGAGCCTCTCTTATGTTGATCGATCCACTTGCTGGGCCTGCTAATGAATTGAATTTTAACAGAGATCCACCTGTACTTTACCTAAAAACAACGATATGAACACATTTTTAATTAATTTAAAAATTATTATATATAATCAATCAATTCATTAGCCAATCAATAAATTAACAATCAGTAATACCATTTCTGATGATTCAGTTGCTTCTGGTAACAAAGGATTTGTAATCAGAACAGTGTTCATTGCCGTTGATCTGAGGGGATAAAAATAATTAATCACTTGCAAATAAATAAACATATGCATATATGCATAAAATATTATTAAAAATTTTTGAACACTAACATGAGCAGATTTAATAACAACTACTGAAACCAATAGTACATTCCAAATTATCAACCATAATCTCGATTTGTTCATAAAATTTATCCACAAAAAAGTGTCTCTGATCTCTCCCTAATTGGATTAATTACAATATATTTGGAAAGAAATGATGGTACACAACTTTTATTGGTCTTGCAGATCCTCTACCTCCTCCAAAAATGGAAATGCATGACCAAAAAAAAAAGATGTAATTTTTGAAGCTGACATTTCTCTACAAAGCTACAGTGCGGATCATCTATACTCAAAGTTAAAATTTTTGAAATATTATGTGATCCACACATTGGATTTTAAAAAACCCGCCACCATTCAATTCAGCTTTA